GGGATGTCCTGAGCGTGCAGTCAAGGGCTACAGATAAAGGTGAGATGACCCCAGAAGGGCTGGAGCAGAGAACAAGCTGGGAGCACAGGCTCACGAGAGGCCTCGTCCCGGGTATGTCTTAACTTAGTGCCTCTGGCTTTGACTTCCAAAGTTTTTTTTTTTTTGAGTTGGAGTCTCACTCTGTCGCCCAGACTGGAGTGCAGTGGCCGCTCCCGGCCACCGCAGCCTCGACCTGCTGGGCTCCGGCGATCCTTCCGTTTTGATCCTCACCTCTGACCTTCTGTCCCTGATCACCTCAGGACAAACATGAAGCTGTCTGAAACCCACGGTTGCTCTTTCTAAGCTGCGTCCCCTGGGTTGTCCTTTAACCCAGAGCTCACGACAGAGGTGGCACATCTCTCAGGGCATGCCAGAGGGCAAACCTTGTGGGGCCTAGGAGGGTAGGGGGGACAGAGGGTGAGAAGGGCTGGCAGTAAGGAGACAACCTGGGCTGCGAGAGGCACAGCCCCAGGCAGAATGCACTTGGCCCCAGGCCCCCAGTTCAGGAATACTGGAGTGGGAAGGCCCCTGGGGATCATCTAGACCCAACCATTCTGTGCCTCTCACTCCATTTTAAACATGAAGAAACTAGCCGGGCACGGTGGCTCACGCCTGTAATCCCAACACTTTGGGAGGGCGAGGTAAGAGGATGACCTGAGTTCGAGATCAGCCTGGGTAATTTGGCCAGACCTCATCTCTACAATAGATCAAAAAATCAGGCGGGTGTGGTGCCTGTAATCACAGCACTTTGGGAGGCAGAGGCAAGAGGACTGCTTGAGTCCAGGGGTTCAAGACCAGCCTGGGCAACTCAGCCAGATTTTGTCTCTACAATAAATAAAAAAATTAGCCAAGTGTGGTAGCGTGCACCTATAGTTCCAGTGGAAGACTGAGGCAGAAGGATTGCTTGAGCCCAGCAGGTCAAGGTTATGGTGGCCGTGAGCATGCCACTGCACTCCAGCCTGGGCGACAGAGTGAGACTCTGACGAAAAAAAAAAAAAAAAAAATCAAATGACCTGAAATAAGTATAATTTAACACCAAAAAAAAAAAAAAAAAGAGGAAGAAATTTCAGTTTAAAGGATGGTCCACTGGGTTTTTGGATTTTTTTCTTTTTGATTTGTTTGGGGTTTTAAAAAATTTTCTTCTTCTTATTTTTGTTTTGTTTTGGAGTTGGAGTCTCACTCTGTCGCCCAGACGAGGGTAGTGGCACGCTCCTGGCCACCTCAGCCTCGACCTGCTGGGCTCAGGGGATCCTTCTAAGTAGCTGGAACTACAGATGCAGGTCACTTATTAATATTATTATTATTATTTGAGTTGGAGTCTCACTCTGTCACCGAGACTGGAGTGCAGTGGCCGCTCCCGGCCACCGCAGCCTCGACCTGCTGGGCTCCAGCGATCCTTCCGCCTCAACCTTTGGAGTAGGCGGAATTACAGGTGCACGCTACCACGCCCGGTTGATTTTTTGATTTATTGTAGAGATGTGGTCTCGCTGCCCAGGCGGGTCTCGAACCCGTGGGCTCAGGCAATCTACTCACCTCAGCCTCCCAAAGGCGTGGTATTACAGTCTGAGCCACTGAGCCCGGCTATTATTTTTTAAATTAGCCAGGCATGATGGTGTGTGGTGTGCGGTGGCACGATCACAGCTTACCACAGCCTCAACCCCTTGGGCTCAGGCAGTTCTCCAGCTTTAGCCTTCCAATTAGCCAGGTGTGCCACCACACCAGCTAATTCTTTTATTTGCTTGTGGAAACGAGACCTCCCTAAGTTGCCCAGGCTAGTCTCGAACTCCTGGGCTCAAGTGATCCTTCTGTCACAGCCTCACAAAGTGCTGGGATTACAAGCATGACCTACTCTGCCTGACTTACTTGTTTGTTTGTTTTTTTAGAGTCAGAGTCTCATTCTGTCACCCAGCCTGGAGTACAGTGGTGCGATCACAGCTCACTGCAACCTCAAACTCCTGAGCTCAAGCGATCCTTCTGCTTCAGTGCAGGTGTGTACAAGCACGCACCACCACACCTGGCTAATTTTGTTTATTTTTTGTAGAGTTGGGTCTCACTTTGTTGCCCAAGCAGGTCTGAAGCTTCTAGCCTCAAGCAATCCTCTTGCTTTAGCCTCCTTTTTTTTTTTTTGAGTTGGAGTCTCACTCTGTCGCCCAGACTGGAGTGCAGAGG